GAGTGGCTGGTGGGTTTGAACCACCAGCCTTCTGGTTAGCAGTCAAGTGCCTTAGGCACTATGCTACCAGAGCTTAGGCACTATGCTACCAGAACTAGAGGGTAGACACATAGTAATTTGGGTGAAGGAAAAATAAATTAAAAACTCTTTGCATTCTTAAGTATTACCTTTGGGTGAATTTAAAGAAAATGAAATTACTGCATCAAAAGTATTTACATCAGATTTTAGAAGTAGTGTCAAATCTTCCAGATGTCCTACCAGAAGTGTGCATGCCCTTCCTTCTGCCTACAAGAATAGGTTTCAGGGTTAGGTGTTGTTGGCTCTTACTGCCCTACCACTAAAACGGTCCTAGTGCTCCACAGCCTTGGCTCTTATGAAATGCTTCCCCATCCCTCCAACCTGATGTGCCTCTCTACTCCCCTGTCTGAGCTTGCCAGGTTCCAGAAGTTCAAGTGCTTTTCCTTGAGCCTCATGTTAATCTCTTTCTGTTAACGTTCATCATTTATTGCACTCACTGCAAAATTTAATTTTATGCTGTGTTGTTGCTCCATAATTTCTTAGGAGCTCTGGTAGCATAGTGGCTAAAGCACTTGACTGCTAACCAGAAGGCTGGCTGTTCAAACCCACCAGCCACTCCTCAGAAGGAAGGTTGGGCGATCCTACTTCCGTAGTGATACTGCCTCGGAAACCCAAGGAGGGGTCGCTATGAGTCGGGGCCAACTCGACGGCACATTAACAACAACAACAACAACATTGCAGGAATAATTAATGGGGAAATTAAAGAAAGATGAAATTATTTTACTGAAGTCCATTTCTGTACTGATATGTCTGCTCATTGTGTCTTTGTTGAAGATTTCCTTTTCTTTTCAGAAGCCAACAAGATCTCCCTAATCCATCATTTTCTTATTGTTTCAGCTGCTGTAAAGAACCATTGGCCAGAAAGTAACACTGAACCCCCCTTAGGAAACATCACCTTTTATCAGGGTCAAGTAAACTTTTCAACAGTAGCTTCCAAAGAGCCTGTGATGGGCCAGACCCCCAGAAAGAGCCATGCTTCTTTGGATGCTCCAGAAAACTTTACTCCTAAAACAGTAAATGCTGGAAGAAGACACAACTCTCCAAGCAGAACAAATTTCACCATTTCCCTTGGTGGGAGCTCACTTGAGATAGCAACAGTTCTGAATTCCCAGAACAGCTCAGGTGAGTTTGTGCTGATTATGCTCATTTCATTCACACATGGAAAACAAAATTTCCACCACCGTTACTGCCCCCTCACTCCCCACATCACCATGAGCCACTTTGCCCAGCCAAGGACCAGACCGGTGACTGAGGCTTTATTTGTGATTGGTAGTGTAGCGCCTAAGGCACTTGACTGCTAACCAGAAGGCTGGTGGTTCAAACCCACCAGCCACTCCTCGGAAGGAACGTTGGGCAATCTACTTTTGTAGTGATACTGCCTTGGAAAACCAAGGAGGGGTTGCTATGAGTTGGGTCCAACTCAATGGCACATAACAACAACAACAACAATAGTTAATTGAATTTTAAGTACAGACAATATGAGGGTGCAGATTTGCTGAAAGATCTAACAGCTAACAGGTTTCAGAGCTGAGGTTTGAGCCTAAGTCTCTGTATTGGAGCCAGATGGAAGGGATGTCTGAGAAGTGGGATGCCCCAACAATATGGATGAAGATTCAGAGGAGAGAAAGAGAAAGGTGGGGCAGCAAGACAGCAACCTTTCCTGGGGGAGGGTGTTAGTTGCACACTGAGAAAAGGAGCAGTGACAAGTACAGTTGTGTGGATGGGTTAGGGACAATCATGGAGGACTTTGGAAACCAGGCAGTTTAGATTTAGTGGGCTAGGAAGAGTCATGGAATGTTTTTGAGCAAGGGAGTGATATGATTAAAGCAGTCTTGGGGAGGATTTGCCTGGCAGTCACGTACAGGATATTTGAAGCTGGGGGAGGGAAGGGAACCTACAGTCAGAGGAACCACCCAGGAAGACATGGAAATTCATACATGGAAAGTAGGTGCTGAGTTATGGCCTAGTGACAGCAGGGATGGAGAGAAAGTGATTGGTAAAGAGAAATTTCACAAAGGAAAATTGATGGACTTGATGCTGGTGTGAAAGTAGAGAATGAAGGCGTCAAAGAAGGCTCCAGGATTCATACCCTAGTGACGAGGTCTGATTGGGGACTTGATTCTGTAAAGAAGGCATGTGAGAGTATTTTGTGCTCCATTCACAGATGATGGATGCAGAGCTTATAACCTCTGCACATGATGCTTCCTATTTCATTGGTCATACAGCTAGTGGGAGTTTCATTTATGATAATTTCCCTAATGACCAGAATCTGATTTCATGTCACCTGGTAGTGGTGTTACTGTTATTTGCCGTCAGGTCTGTTCCAAACCTTGGTGACCCATGTGTGCAGAGTGGAACTGTGCTCCACAGGGTTTTCAAGACTGTGACTTTTGACCGAGTAGTTGAACCTATGGGCTCGGAACCATAGTCACAGAGGACACCAAGCTCAATTGGCATAACATACTACACAAAACATTGTTCCACCTCCTACTGTGGTAAGTAGCGACTGAGATCTTAAAAGCTTGCAAGCTGCCATCTAGATGAAGAATGAAGAAAAACAGAAATTCATGGAAACAATTAGTCTTAGTGACTGGTACACCATCTGATCTGCAGCCTATATGACAATGAGCCCAGAAGAAATGGATTGTGCTTGGCTACTACTGTCAACCACTTGGAAGAGGACTTTGTAGGAGATCCTGGATAGACAGGGAGAACAATGTGGAATAAAACTCAAAATCATTTGGAAAAAAAAAAAAAGTGGGGAACAGGTTTGCTGGCCCGAGGGAGCCTGCTGGAACCACTGAGACTATGGCCCTAGCTGCCCTTCAGGTCTGGAATTGAATGCACACCTGTGGCTTCCAGCCAAACAATAGACAGGCATATCAGTTGAGCATTTACCTGAGGTAGATATACTCCTTGGAGAGAATAAGCATGAGAGAAAGAAGGGTTGTTTATGCACAGGGAGACAGCTCAGGGGGTAGGAGTGCGTGGAGCGATGGACACAGGGAGGAGGTAACTATCGGGAGCTGTTGCATTGTGGTAAATTGTGGTCAGTGTCATGAGACAGTGTATGTGAACTGCTGTATGGAAAGTGTATTTGCTCTGTAAATTTTCACCCAAATCACAATTGAAAAAAAAAAAGACGGTGACTTTTTGGAAGCAGATCATCAAGCCTGTCTCCCAAGGCATCTCTTAGTGGGTTCGAATTGCCAACCTTTTAGCTAGTAGTTGCATGCTTAACCGTTTGCACCCATGGACTACGTATGTCATCTGATACTTAGGTTCAATGTGCCCCTTTTTTGATAATTGTACTACAAAATGCAAAGTCTTTGCTTCTGACACCCAAAAACAGTCTTTGTCTTGGTTTGTGATCTTTCAGGAGTTAATGAGTTAATAATTCATTCGTTAGAATGAATAATTGCTTCTAATTTCTTCCCATGTCTACACATTTTGTAGAGGTCGGTGCTGAACCCACTAAAAGATTATTAAAATGTTTGGAAGTCTGCTGGTGGATCTTCATAATTCTTGCCATCTGATTTCAGTGTTGGAAGAGCTTCACTCGCCATCCAGCAGTTCAGAGTCAGAAGAAAGAATTACCCCTTCTCAAACGGAGAGTGGAACACTCTCACTGACCATGGGGAAGGGGGTCTCAAAAGAAGCAACTGTGCACCCCCAAGTGGCTGCCACTTCTGTTTTGAGCCAGTCCTCTCTTCCTGCTTTGGAGAGGGGAGAACAGACCACGTTCTCCAGGAAGAAAAGCTCCTCAGGACCAGAGCTCTCCTCACCACATTTCTCCAGGACTTCAGCTTACAGCCCTTCCTCAGACCGTTCTTCACGTGAGTTCTCCCACCCCCAACTTAACACTCTGAAATCATTCAAAATAGAAATAAATAGATGAGTACACCTAGCTAGCTGCATACTCATCATAGAGGCTAACGGGGAAAGACATGATGCAGAATTGTCTTCACTGTGGGAGCCCTGATGGTGCAGTGGTTAAAGCTCTTGGCCACTAACTGAAAGGTTGGTGGCTCAAACCTATCAGCCGCTCCTCAGGAGAAAGACATGGCAGTCTGCTGCTGTGAAGAATCACAGCCTTGGAAATCCTATAGGGCAGTTCTACTCTGTCCTATAGGGTTGCTATGAGTCAGAATTGACTCACTACCAGTGGGTCTTTTTTTTTTTTTTGTAATGTAAAATATTTGGAATAAAAGTACTATCTGCAAGTTTATCCTAGTATTTAAGTTCACCTTAAAAATATGTTTTATTTAACTGCTTTCTGCACCCTCAACCCTCAACACACACCCACATACACATATAACGAAGACTGACTGTTACTGATGTGCATTCTTAGGAGTCCCTGGGTAGTGCAAATGGTTAACACACTCAGCTGCTAACCAAAAGATTGGTTTAAGTCCATCCAGAGGCACCTCAGGGGAAAGGCTGAACACTCTACTTCCCAAAACTCAGCCGCTGAAAACCTTACACTGTTCTATTCTGACACACAAGGGATCGCCACGACTAAGAGTGAACTCAATGGCATCTGATTTTATTCTTAGACAAGAGACCACGGCTGGGATAATGGCATTATATCATTTGATAAGGAGAGTTAGATTTTTAGTTCTTCTCCATTATTGTAAATATGTTTCTTTCAGTTGCAGAGAAAATGTGGTGTACATTTCTCTGGGGGAGAAAAAAACACTGAATGCCAGTGTTTGCAGGACATATTAATAAATGCAGCTGTGGCATCCCTCTCTGCCAATGCAGTTTCTACCCATCATTTAAACCTGACCTCAGGTGTTCTAGTTCTATGAAACTTTGCTTCAACCCTCCTGATCCTCAGTGATTGATAGACTCTGCTATACACCTTGTAATATTTGGTTCGCTAATGCGTCATCTGTCCAGATAGATTGTAAGCCTCTTGAGTACACAGGCTGAGTCTTTTACTTCTCTTACATTCCCCAATGCCCCAATGCCAGGACAAGGTGCACTTGATAAGTAATGGGGTTTAGCACATGCCCAAATACCTTCACAGGACAGATGCAGCCAGGGACCAAAATTGGAAACAACCTTTCTTTTCTATTCCCTAAGAAATATTTATTTAGATTTTGTTTGCGCTGCTTGTGTTTTCCTACCAATGCTGCAGGGAGCAGACAGAGAAGACTGGCAATATTGTTGGGAAATGGAGGCTAGGTTGTTTCAGAGATTGCCATTTCCAAATTTTGTAGGTCAGAGGTTTTTATGAATACTTTGCAAGGCTAGGCATTGGGTTTATGCCATCAAAGCAAAAACTGAACCCAGAGATACTTTCTGTAAAACCTATTTTAAAATCAGCCAATCTTCTGTATACCCTGTACACAGTTTCCTGCTAACTGGATATGGATATAATTTATGATTCATGTTTATAGGAGATTGGTTTTTAAGATTATTCATAAACATTGGTTGAATTAGATAAAAGCTGTGATCCTTTTCAGCCCCATAGCTCTGCGGTTCCATGATTTACAACCAACTTTACTGAACAGTGGAAGGAAGTGTTTTCTAGGTAGCTACACTTTGATTCTGGTTGGGTCATTTAATATTTATAATTTAAATTTAACCCACTAATGTGGTATATTTGAAAATTAGCCTTTCCAACTTTATTGGATTTTACTATATATTCACCTGTGTATTTTTTCAACATTAAAATGTAATTGGTCCTCAGATTCTTTGGGCATTCATCCTTTTTTAGAACCATATACTTTAAATTTTTGTTGAGTTCCTCCATATCTTTCAGGGGTTGCTCTGGTGGCATTGTGGCTAAGGCATTTGACTGCTAACCAGAAGGTTGGCAGTTCAGACGCGCCAGCCACTCCTTGGAAGTACGATTGGGCGATCTACTTCCGTAGAGATACTGCCTTGGTAACTCAAGGAAGGGTTGCTCTGCGTCGGGATTGACTTGATGGCAGTGAGTTTGGTTCCCACCCCTCACCAGTATCTTTCATATACCTTGATTCTATTCTAAGCATTTTCTTTTCCTCCTTTGGGAGCTGAGTTTTCTGTTCTAGGTCAGGTTCTGCCTCTCTTAGATATTGGAGAGGGCTTTGGACAGAGTTAGATGGGGCTATAAATGATCCTGTATCCTCCCTGTGGTGATCCTGGATAAGACATGAACAAGAAACTGAAGCCACACTAATGTTCTGCTTTATTTTCAGTTGAGTTAGCATCTGCTAACTCCCCAAACAGAGCTTTGATTTAGTTCCTAAAACCAAACCAGTTGCCGTCAAGTCAGTTCTGACTCACGACAATCCCATGTTTGTCATGGTAGAGCTGTGCTCCATAGGGTTTTCAGTGGTTGTGGTCTTTTAAAAGTAGATCACCTGGTCTTTCTTCTGCGGTGTCTCTGGGTGGACTCGAACCACCAATCTTTTGGTTAGTAGCTGAGAGCTTAATCATTTGTACCATCCAAGGATTCCTGATATACCTCCTGCCTCCCTTTAAATCTAACTTGAGATGTTACTACCTTGATGTAGGAACTCTATGCATATGGGCAAGAGTGCTGAGAACGAGGTGGCAGGACTTGCCAAAGGCAGACCCATAGTCAACCTGACCCAGCCAGCCAGCTGTATGGAAGAAAGGGAACACAGTGGGGGCTTGTGCCATTGGCCACTTGGCCACTCCACCTACTAGTAAATGTGACTGAGTGAAAGTCCTGGCTCTTGGATCAGTCAGATTAGTGATGTTCTCACTTGGTGAGCACTAGGATGGTGAGCCAGGAGCCTGGCGTGAAGTGGATGGGCTAACAGACAAGGTCCCTAGTTGTGTTATGAGGGGATTAGACCAGGTGATCTTAAAAACTCTTTCTAGTTTCAGCATCCATTACTCCAAACACATTCAGCCTTTCTATTCTGTGACTCCTTTCATTCCGTACTCTGCTGTGCAAAAACACACAGTACAACCTCTTCTGAGGCTGGGAGAGCCAGAAGTTACTTGCTTCCAGAAATATATGGTATGACTTTCAGTATTAAAGCAGGTATCAGATCAGGCAACTAAAACAGATTTATAAAAAGTATCGGAAACCGTTTGAATTTTTTTTCTATCTGCTTTACATCTTACTATGCTTTCCACATTTTCTATCATGAACAGGTACTATTTGATCATTGAGACAGAGGTGGGGGAAATAAATGAAGCAACAAACAGTTAAAAGCTCTTTTTTGAAGGTGGAAAGAGATGTGTGTATGTTGAATTGTGTGAGAGTGGCTACCATTGAGCACTAAATTTAGTACTGAGCTTCCTGGAAACCAAGGCACAAAGGGAAACCAAGTGGGGCGTGCAGTTGTTGTCAGGTAAAGTAAGCATATGGTTTTATCTGTAGGCATAAGTGCTTTGTGAGCAGTAAATTCTAAGAGGAATATTTATGGAAGGAACATTGACAATCATGATGGAAAATGCCTTCAATTGCCATTTTTTGGAAATTGTGCTAATGTTCTATAAAAGGTGATCTTGTCTATAGATCTTCAAGAGAAGCAGAGGATGTAATAATGGATCTTAACTCATGAAAGTATTTCTGTGGGTAGCTGAGCTAATGTGGTCCAGGTAAATTGCTTTGTGGTAATTTCACTTTGTAAAGACAAAGAACATTTAAAATAATTCAGAAGATTGTTGATGGAACGTATCGTTCTCAAATACCGGTTGCATCAGCTATAATTTTGGCACGTTCTGGATAGCAGGCGAGTCAAGGTTGAGCATTCTGATGTATGCATGAGATGAGGGTCCAGTGTTGGGTGTTATGCTTGGGGAGTGACCCATAATGATCTTTTCACTTCCTCTAAAAAAAGATTAGGGAACCTGGCTTATTTCTGCTCTCAAATGGATAGTTGTTTTTTTTTTCCCCCTCCCCATTTGAATGGCTGGTTCAAGGATAGAAATAAGCAATGAAGGGCAATTATAATAATCAAAATTGGTGGCCTCTTGATTAGAAACATAGTAAATTTCCCCTTAGATTTATTTAGGCAGCATTCATTTATTAATGTAAGTGGTGATAGTAGCTGATTTTGACCCAACATTTACTCTGTTTACTAAGAGGCAACAACTCTATTGAAGTATTCATATTCTTTTCGTAATTTAACTATGAAGATTAACTGAGATTATGTGTATAAAGTATTTAGTGCAATGCCTGGCCCATAGTAATTGGCCAATAAAGGGTAGCTTTTAATAATGATGATAATGATGAGATCAGGTAAATTGATGTTTTACAGAGCCCTTAAGGTTAAGGAAAACATCATAATTTTCCTTTTGTGACTTTCAGCTTTTGCAGCTTTTGTGATTGTGTTTTTGTGGTCACTGGTTTGCTAAAACCACGGCAGGTTAACAAGCCTGGGGTATTCAGGCTGAGTCAAACATAACTGCCACTGCATTTTGGTGGGAACAATGAATGGATGGAATCATACCATTTTCTGGAAATAAAAGTATTGAAAGAACACCCAGCAATCTGATGAAATTTGGTGGATACAGAAGATAACTCTAGGTTAGCTCTGAGAGTGAGGATTTGAGAATATATACAATAAATCTTTTCTAATGAGCCCGGGTGGCACAACAGTTAAGTGCTCAGCTGTTAATCAAAAGGCCAGAAGTTCGAATCCACCCAATGGCTCTATGGGAGAAAGACCTGGTGATTTGCTCCCATAATGATTGTGGCCTGGAAAACTCTGTGGAGCAGTTCTACTCTATAACGTGGAATTCCTGTGAGTCAAAATTGACTCAGCAGCACCCAACAACAGTGCTTTTACTTTTTTATACTCGGAAGGTTTGCAAGTGTTTGTTAGTTTTATTTTGTATTTGTTTTTTAAATAAGAATGGGCTT